GAGGTATTTCTCGGATTACAGAGAGCGACTTCCCTGGGGTATCTTTCAACCCTCCCCAGCATGGTGACAACTTGGAACTGATGGAGGGGACTGATATTCAGGTAGAGATTGGACTACCAATCATTCAATCAATGAGCATTTATTAAGCACCTAATGCGTGCCAGGCGCTGTGTTAAGTGCTGGGGATACAAAAGGGAGCAGTCCTGCCTTCCAAAGGCTTACATTCTATGAGAGGTTGGGGGGAGAGGCAGGATATATATACCTTGAGATAGATGGATAGGTGCATACATACATACACATGTATACATACAGACACAGACACAAATATAGACGGATACAGCTGGAGATGGAGATGTTATCGATATAGATATAGGTATGAGCATAAGTTAGGTGTGAATATCAGTCAGCTAGGTGACTGAGTACTGGACTTGGAAGGAAGTCTTGGGTTCAAATCTCATTTCAGACACATAATAGTTGTTCGACCCTAGGCAAGTCACTTCACTGGTCTCTGTGCCTCAGTTTCCTCATTTGTAAAATGCAAATAATAATAATAATAATGATAGCAGCACCTATCTCCCAGGGTCGTTGTGAGAATCAGACAAGATAACTTACATTGCCCTTGGCAAACCGGAAAGCACCACATAAATGTATCAAGTACAAGGATAGACTATAGTTAGAGGCATGAGAATAGAGATGGAGATCAGGACTTTTTAACCTGGGATCCATGAAACCCCAAAGGGTTCTTGGAGAGAGTTCGGGGGGTCTGTGAACTTGGATGGGGAAAAAGAAAATTACATCCTTAATTTCATTAACTTCTAAGAGAAATTTAGCTTCTCCTTCAATTATGAATACAGGCAACAAACATTATCCTGAGAAGGGGCTCCTTGGGTTCCTCAGACTGCCAAAGGGGCCTATGGCACAAAAAAAAGCAATATTGTTCTATTTTCTATGTAGATCATAGTTTACATGCTGATACATATTACATTTACTTTGTATGTGCATGCGTAATAAGGGAGATATGTGTATAAATATAAAAAACCAATACAAGGGAATTTGGAAAGAGGATGTGGACTTCTGGCTTCTCTTCAAGCTCTGAGATGCTTTGGTTGTCTTCTGGTTATATATGTGTGTATTAGGGGAGATGTGGACGGTGATGGAGGGTATGAGAGTCAACTGGGGGTGCAGTGGATAGAACTGTGGGTCTGGAGTCAGGAAGATCTGAGTCTGAATCCAGCCTCAGACACGTACTAGCTGTGTGACCTTGGACAAGTCACTTAACCTCTGTTTGTCTCAGTTTCCTCATCTGTCAAATGGGGTGTAATAATAGTACCTAACTCCCAGGGTTGTGGTGAGGATAAAATCAGGTAATAGTTGTAAAGCACAGAGCACAGTGCCTGGCACACAGTAGGTGTTGTATAAATGCTAGCTATTATTATTATGGGTAGGTGGAGACTTTTGTAGAATATTGGAATCAAAAAGTCTTCGAAGTCTATCCTTGAATTCTGGAATCTAGAATATTACTACTTTTGTGATGAAATATGAACTCCTAGACTATAGACCTAGTAACATTTTCTGCAAGATCAAAATCCCTAGGAATGGGAAATGTGGTCTGTAGTGCAAAAGACGTTGGTCGGTCATAAAGGTCACCGTGTCCAACCTCTCCATTTTACAGATGAGGAAACTGAGGCCCAGGGAGCTTAGGCCCGAGGTCACACAGGCATCAGAGGTGAGAGGTGAGCCCAAGTCCTCCAATTGAAAAGTCAGTGCTTATCACATTGGAAGATGCCATAGGAGAAGGGATGATCTAATCCTCCACCACATAAAACGTGGGGGAGAAGGAAGAGGAGAGATTGAGAGGGATGGTGGGGGAGGAGGAAGGTTAGGGTTATCCTGGGGGTGCAGCTGGGACTAGTGTAGGACCTACGAGTGAGCTTCAGGCAGGGTAGCTGACAAGAGGACCTCTAAGGAGGAGGTCCACACACTTCACACTGTTTGCCTCAATTTCCTCAACTGTAAAAATGAGCCTGAGGAGGAAATGGCAAACCACTCTGTTATCTTTGCCACAAAAACCCCACGTGGGGTCACCAAGAGAGTCAGACACGACTGAACAACAAGAACACTCCCCATTATAAAGCATTCTAGAAATGGGAAAGGATGTTTTCCCCATAGAAACACAGGCCATTTTTTTCCTATCATTACATCGATCTCAGTAGATGACCTTGAATTAAGGGAGAGGATGGAGACAGATCTTTATTGGGGAGGGAAAAGGTTTTAACAGAGAAGTCAATAGAAAATTCCTTCGGGAACCCTGGCCTCCAGAACTAGGAGGGCCAGGCATGACTTGGAATTTTTCCTACTCCTGGGCCCGTTCCATTCAATTTAAACCCACACCTGGTAGCTGAAGAAGGGCCAGTTCACCCAAGGGCTGATGTCATTGTTTTCTGTTGCTAACCAATCCAAACAGGCTGCCGCGCCCCCACCCCCTCAGACCCCAAAGCCCTTTCTCCAGCCCCTCAGAAAGCTTGTGAGGCAGCCAGCTCCATCCGGAGGAGGAGTTCTTAATCTTTGTTGGGGAAGGGATCCCTTCGGCAGGTTTTTTTTTTTTTTAATAATTGAAGGAAATGCCTACTTCAGATAGAGGTCAGTGAAAACAAAGAGGTGAATATTTTTTTTCCCCAAAAAGCTCATGGACCCTTCGGGTGTGGAGAACTCAGGGTGGTGGAGAGAGCAATAATCTTGCAGGGTGATTAGGAGGAAAGTACTTTGTAAACTTTACTTCTCTGGATGTAGGGATCATAGGGTTCAGAGCTGGAAGGTATCTTGGAACAGAGACTGTCAGAGCTGGGAGGGGCCTGAGAACAGGGGATGTCAGCGCTGGGAGGGCCCCTTAGAGCAGGGGATGTTAGAGCTGGGAAGGGCCTTAGAACAAGGGATATCTGAGCTCAGGAGAAGCCTTAGATATTCAATTAAATTTAACCAACATTTATTAAGTGCAGGCCACTAGGTGGGGTAATGAAGAGCAAACACAAAGTTTATGTGAGTTTTTCACTTCCTTACAAGGCAGTTTGTAAAAAGAAGAGCAAGGGGAGGAGAGGAGCATTAATGAGTGGTAAAGCTGTTATGGAGGCAGCTAGCTGGTGCAGTGGTTAGAGCACCAGCCCTGGAGTCAGGAAAACTTGAGTTCAAATCCAGCCTCAGATATGTCCTGTGGCCCTGGGCAAGTCACTTACCCACTGTCTACCTCAGTTTCCCAATCTGTAAAATAGGGATAATAACAGCACCTACCTCCCAGGGTTGGTGTGCGATAAAATGAGATAATATTTATAAATCTCTTCGCGAACCTTAAAGCAGTATATAAATGCTAACTATTATTAAGATTAAAAAGCTCCCCCCATCCTCCTCTACTTAATTATAGACCTAGAAAAGAACTTGGGGGTCATTTAGTTTAAGCCTCTCATTGACAGAAGAGGAAACAGAGGCACTGAGAGGTTAAGCAGTTTGCCCCGTGTCTCTCAGCTAGGAAGAAGCAGGCATCTGAGGTCCCTTTCCACTTTAAATGCTACGGTACAGTCAGTGCAAGAGAAAGAAGGAAGGAGGAAGAATGAGGGGGCACGTATAATGCTAGAGCTGGAGCTGGAAGGCGCCTTGGCAATCATCTAGTTCAATCCACTCATTTTACAGAAAGGGTTCAGAGAGAGAAGTGAGGTGACTTGGCCAGAGGCACACAGCTAGCGAGGGAGGGAGGCAGGATTCTGATCCCTCCCTTTCTCACCCCGAGTTCAGCATTCCCTGACCTTACAGAATACATCTAGGGAAATCCCTGGGCTTTCTCCATGGGCACTCCTGTCCCTAGTCAGGACATATTCCCTGAAAGAAGCCACTGGAAAATTCCTTTATAGCCATTCTCTCCTGGAGCCTGTCGGACTGGAAACAGAAGCTATTCAGAGAAAGAAGGGATTCTTCCCCCAGGAAAGTGAACCAGGTTTTAGTCATACACTCATTCAAAAAAATCAGCCACAAACAAGTGGGCAGCTTTCAGCCCCAGCTAGGAATGCCTTATTCTCAGTAATGCCATATATTACCAAGGACTCAACTTCAGTCGACTAGCCCTGCCTCTCTGCCCTTTACCTGCAGCTGGATCAAAGCGTTACATCCAAGGCTTCTGTACTAATTTACCTCTTGGTGGGCAAGTTTACAGCTTCCTGGGCACCATGAGCACGGACCAGAAAGTCAAGAAGGGATGGAAAGCTACCACCCAGTTGGGGTGGTACAGACAGAGCTGACTCTGGAGCATCTCTACAGCTATGTGGTGGCCAGGCTTCTGTAAATTCTCTCAACCCTTCTAGGGAGACAGCCTGGGGGCAAGAAAGAATCCTGGCTAAGGATTCACAGAGCAATGAGAATCAGAAGAGATATAAGAACGTGGAATGTCATCCCTGTGAGAGACCTTAGAATATGGAATGTCAGAGATGGGAGGAACCTTAGCAAAGAAAATGTCAGAGACTGAGAATCCTTAAGAACAGAGGATATCGTGTCTGGAGGACCTTAGAAAGGAGAATGTTGGGGCAGCTAGGTGGAGTAGTGGATAGAGCACTGGCCCTGGAGTCAGGAGGTCCTGAGTTCAAATCTGGCCTCAGACACATAACACTCACTAGCTGTGTGACTCTGGGCAAGTCACTTAACCCCAATTGCCCTCACCAAAAAAAAAAAAAAAAAGGAATGTCAACAGTAGAAGAGAGAATACAGAAATGTCAGAGCTAGAAGGACCCGAGAATATAGAATGTCACAGCTGAAAGGCACTTAAGAATATGGAATATCAGATCGGGAGGGAATGTCAAAGATGGATAGAATATCAAAGGTGAAAGGAATCTGAGAACAATGTCAGAGCCATAAGGGATCTTAGAACATAGAATGTCAGCACTAAGAGGGACCTTATCACAAAATATCAAAGTTATTTTTCAGATGGGTAAACTGAGACCCAGAGAGGGGAACTGTCTTACCCAAAGTGACACAGTGAATCTGTGGCAGATGCAGAACTAGAACTCAGAGTCCTCGGGCTCAGAGCCCAAAATTCCTTCTGCTGCCCCAGTGATGACCCAACGACAAAAATTCCAGCAATGACTGGGTTGGTGAGTCCATTGAGAAATCTCCAGGCACAGCTTGTCCCAATCACGGCCACCTCCTCACACGGCTTTTCCACGGAGGACCAGCCCAGAATGATCAGGTCCTCTCCCCAGCTGATAACAATGGAATGCAGTCCCCGCCGGCTGAGGAAAGTCTGCTACCACCAAGGAGCTGGAGTCTTAGATTCTCTGGAGCCCCGCATGCCTGGGGTCCTTGCCTTCTTCATCCTCTCCTCAGCTGCAGGATGCAGCTGCTAAGACCACTTCTCTGTCCCTGACTTGCTCCAGTCAAAAGTGACAAACAGATGGCTTTCACAATTACCACACACACATACTCGGAGACCCATTACTTCCTCCCACTCTGGGGGCTCATGGGAGTAAGCCAGAGAGCCCTCAGGGTCTGGCACATGGTGCAACTTTGTTGACTGACTGGCAGTCCACAGCCAGCTTTTTACAGATAAGGAAACTGAGGCCAAGAACAGTGAAGTGAAAAGTCACATAGCTGTGGCAGACCTGATGACCCTTCTCTCAATGCAATGTTTACCTTTTCATCATGAAGATAAAAGCATTAGCCTCAAGTGCTCAGCTGTGGGGAGTGACTCAGATATAAGTGGGGCACAGGGTCTGAGAAGAAGAGGCAAGTGAGAGGGAAGGATGAATGAATGAATGAAACATTTATTGAGCACTTACTATGTGCAAAATACCATATTAAGCCCTAGAGATACAAATAGAAAAGTCAGACATCCCTATTCTCAAAGATTTCTCATTCTAGTGGGGAGACAACATAGAAGGAAGAGTTTAACCACAAATCAGACAGAAATAAGTCCCATGGTCCTTAGGGTACATTAGGAAGGGAATTTGCATTTATTAAGCACCTACTTTGTGCCAGACCCTTGCTAAGAAGAGCTTTACGGAGATGATCTCATTTGATCCTCACAACCCTGTGAGGTAGGTACTGTTATTATCCCCATTTTACAGTTGAAGAAACTGAGACAGACAGAGGTTAAATAGCTTGCTCAGGGTCACACAGCTAGGAAGTATTTGGGGCTGCATTTGAACTCGGGTCTCTCTGACTCCTGGCCCAACGCTCTATCCACTGAACCACCAGCTGCCAAGCACATGGTAATGCCTCTTCTTTAAGGATATGATGATGGTGAGAAATTAACCTAAAATTTGTCACTTTTTTTATGAGAGGGGAGGTCCAGGCCTATGACGTTCACTGTTGGGAACTCCTGGTGTGGAAATTCTACCCACTAATACAGAATAACAACTCCTCTATAACTTACAGTCTTAGAGAACTGTCCGAGGCGGGAAACAGCAGTTAATACTTTTTACCAGCCCTGTCCACAAAACCTCAGTGGGGGCAAAACAAGGATGAAGTAGGAAATGGATGCCCTGGTGTGAACCACAGTTTTCTCATCTTTCCAATCAGGACAATGTTCCTGGCAGTTTCTAGCTTACTGGGTCCCTCAGGGGCTTAAATGAGACAACAGGAGCAAGATTGGGACTCTGTAAAGTCCAAGGGGCCAAACAGATGTGAGGATCAGTCACGAGTCACTGAGGAAGGCTTGAGTCGGAGAGCGCTGGGGATGGAAGCCTGGAGTGGGCTCCCAGCCCAGCCGAGGCTGCAACTTGGGTGCTATTGTGAAACCTGCCTGTCCCTCAGGGGGAGAGAAACAAAAGTGGGAGCTCCCACGCTGGCCTCCCCAGCTCCTTCCAAAATGGGAAACAGGCCGGGCTTGGCAGGAGCCAGAGACAGAGCCCCTGGCTGGAGCGCTTTCATCTAGGCACGTTCTTCCTGAGGGGCCTTGGGTGGAAGAGGATTAGGAAGGGGCTGAGCTGTTTTCAGACCTGTAGTCTTCCCTACTCCCCATCCCCACTTTCTTTCTGTTTGTGACCTTGGTTGTGTCATGGTCCTTATCTGGACCCAACCGCTCATTCTACTGAGGAAGAAACTGAGGAAACTGAGGAAACTGAGGTTGGGACTTTGCCAAAGCTTCTTTAGGTATCAAATGGTAAATGAACTTCTTCCTAACTCTGACAACTCATGCTCTAAGGCCCCTCCCAGCTCTCACATTCCCTATTCTAAGGCCTTTCCTAGCTCTGACATTCCCTGTTCTAAAGCCCTTTCCCTGTTCTAAGGGCCCTCCCAGCCCTGACATTCCCTGTCCTAAGGCCCCCTCCCAGCCCTGACATCTCCTGTTCTAAGACCCCTCCCAGCTCTGACATTCCCTGTTCTAAGGCCCCCTCGCAGCCCTTGACATTCCTTGTCCTAAGGTCCCCTTCCAGCCCTGACATTCCCTGTCCTAAGGTCT